TATATAGAGAGAGAGAGAGAGAGAGAGAGAGAGAGAGAGAGAGAGAGAGAGAGATAGATAGCTATAGATATATATATCTATATAATTCTATATCTATAGATATATATAGATATCTATAGATGTAGATATCTATAGATATATAGATAGATAGATAGATAGATACCTATTGAAGCTAGACTGAAAAAAAGTTGAACTAAAGAAGACATTCTTTAGTTGCATGGATATTGTAATCTATGAGTTAGTCCCACTATATGAATTATTGAATCATGATATATGATAATGTATTACCATTATATATATATATAGGGTGACCCCCTCCTACTCCCCGAAGATGGCTGGGATAGGCTCCAGCACCCCCCCATGACCCCTGTGAGGAAAAGTAGATCCGAAAATGGATGGATGTATATACATACAGTATATACACACACACACACACACACACACACACACACACACACACACACACACACATATATAGTGGTAAGATACTTTCTATTCATACGACCAGTTACTTTGTGACACCCACTCCGGATGACCATAGCCGTCATTTCATTGATTGTGCAGAATTCTCTCAATTTTGGGGGAAATGATTAGTAATCACGTCTTATGTGCATGACTTTGCAGCACCCAGCAGAGGCTCTGTTTATTTAGTCTGAACTAGTTTGCTGGTCCTGCTGCAGGGTCCAATTTTGTCATTTTTTTGGTCAAGGTTTACATTGATAGGGTGTCCGCCTTTCGGACATCCTCTTCATGTAAAAAAATTATGATTTTCACAGGACAGCGATGAGAATAAAAGATATTAAAGTTATTTTTTGTCAACTTTCCTCCATAGTCGATCAACAAAATGTAGTCTGCCACATGTCACTACAACACTGAGGCCTATTTTAACAGTACACACACACAGACACACACACGCACACACACAGTCACACACACCCACAGAAACACTAAGAGGGTCTCATGTGGCAACTGGCAAACATTCATAACATGTTGGATGTTGGCCTGAGTGAGGGCTCAGCCAAGTGTGAAATCGGACTTGATTTCAGAAGGGAGCCGAGGCCACACAAAGGCCTGTTTGGACAACTAATGGCAGCCAGGCCATTAAAAGAAAAAAAAAGATGGATGGGTGTAGCATATTCTTTAGATTTCAAAAGTACCATCAGCAATATCTCAGTGGTCATCCAAGAGCTGCACTCAGATACAAATAGTTGTCAAGCCTTAAACTCTTCCAGGTACCAATAACGTCACCAAAGAGGTTGAAGCAATCCTACTGTAAATAATGCCCTTTTTTGGGGGAATCTTCAAAATGATCATAATCTATGATGCTATGTGCTTCCCTCATTAGATTGGGTAGATTCCACCCCCCCCCCAAAAAAAAAAAAATCAGAGCATTTTCATTGGGCTGCCACCAAAAGGCAACGGAATCATAAAAATAGTGATTCCAAAAAGGCCTTCACACGGCCTGATTGCTCAAGCCCTAAATATACCACATAGCAGCATTTCACACCAACACATCGATGTCGACTCACCTTTGAAGGACAGGTAAATCCTGGGGGCAGAGAGTGGCTCCAGGGCCGGAGGGAGCCCCGCGGACGAACATGCCAGCAGGGCCAGCAGACAGCACAGGCTGTCCAACAACATTCTCTCTCTCTAAATGAGGAGGAGGAGAATCCGGGATCTGCGGGACAGAGATGGATGGACGTCAAACAATGAGCCGGTACTTCGGCCCACACCAACTTGCGTCAGGTTAGCAGTCGGTATTTAATCACGTGTTGTGCCTGAGAAGTGCAGTAAACTGGATAGAAATGAAAGATGAAACTGGTTTGAAAAATTCATTATCACCATTATCCAAGTGATCAAAGGTATCGGTAGCGCTGTGCACAATTCAGTGGTGACTCGAATTAAGATGCGACTTGGTCATTAAAAAGGAATGTTGACTCAAATTTTCGAATCTGACTGAGAATTCATCATAACATATTGTTGAGCATTTTATTGCACGTACTCGTGTCGCAGGAATGTTTGAACGGTGATGCCTGTGTATATGTCGTAAATATGTGGGGGTTGCACAGCATCATGTCACCCAAAATTGTTTACATGTGTATGGTAATTTTAAGACAGTTAATGAGCCTTAAATTAAACTGTTAAGCAATCAGTCAATAAAGCCCACAGGCTGGATCAATGTCTTTGTTGTTACTTCATTGTTGGCCTCTGTCCCCGTCCGAGCACGGAGTTTTCAAACTTGGTCGTTTGACCGGTGAGACGAGCCCTCCCAGGTTGGCTTAGCTCTAGCTCGCTGCTACGACAGGACACAGATACCAAAAGTGAAAAAACACCCTGCCATTCTGCCATTGGTCGGTGCACGGCGAGGGATCATGTAAGTTCAAGTAAGTGACTTTAAACTACAAAGGAAAACCTTTCCGTAGGTTGATGCGTCTTGTCGGTGTATCCTCCAATGTTTTCCAAATTAGACATAAAAATATCGTAATATAGAGTGGACCATCACATGTTCACTGTTCAGCAACCACGGATTCACGTGCAGTAATTGTAGAACATGCAAAACGAATGCTGGAGGTTTCTCATAGTTTTAGGAAGAGAGAGAGAGAGAGAGAGAGAGAGAGAGAGAGAGAGAGAGAGAGAGAGAGCGAGAGAGAGTTTAAACATTTACTTTAATAGTGACGGGACTGTACTCTTGTACTCCACATTACCAAATAACTCCAAATATTTGACAAAACGCACATTTTTAAAATTCAAATAGATTTTGGACTACAATATGCAAAAAAAATTAATCAAAATTTTAAATTGTCAATAAAGCTAGTAGACTGCCATTTTTAAGTAAAGTCCAATGTTGTAAGATTTCACTGGATTTTGAATTCAAAATAATACCAAAGGTCAAACCTGTACATTTAAATTGGGTACATCACATTTTTACAAGGCTTTTTGTCAACTCAAGCACTACAATTCAGTCCTTCGACGTTCCCGTTAGAGGCGCCAGACCGAGCTCTGTCAGCTAATTGAGAACTGAAGTTCGGGATACCTGCATTTCTCCCTATTTTCACGCCACCGCAAGAATGAGTGGACATGTACTTTGTGGTTTTCTCCATAAATTCACATTATGCTTTATGTGCAACCTGCCCACACCGTTTACATTTATAATGAGGCAGTGATCAAATCAGCCAAAGCATTACATGCTCTGACAGCATCTGGGAAGTAGCCTAAGTCTTCAAAAGCCTCAATCATGATCCAACCAGTTGTCTGATTTTTTTGCTACTTCTTTTTTCTAGCTAATGCTGGTAACACTACATCACTCTCCTACCGTATTAACTTAATTTTAAATTCCAATACATTACTAACCATTTGAAATGACATCGCAGTAAATGTTTCAACCACAGTCTAAATATGAATTTCTTTTTCAAGCATACATATTTGTTGCTGGTGACCAGTGTATTTTTTTTTTTTCAAAACTTCAGGTGGAGGACTGCCAACGTCTGGGGTTTCAATGGCTGCGGTTACATTCTGGGATGAACTTCTCACTTGCAAAGAGCCTCTCTCCGCCTCAACCACCCACGGCGCTTCCCGCTGCTCTCTGCATGACGCCCCACACGCATACGGAAACAAACCTGCTGCAATGAAGCTGAGGAACATATCAAGCAAGTGCAGTTGTGTTTTCATTGTTTGTTTTATTGTGTGTTTCTTAACTGCACTTGTTCCTTTTGAGTCTAACAAGCATAGTGGCAAGAAAGGCTCCACGGCAAGATCCACCACACTCAAGGCAGTTGAATGTTGGGATGGCATCCAAATGCTGCGTGGCAAGTCGCAGTGGAGGACGAGGAGACAATAAAACAAGCGTACCTCACCAGTGGGAGCTGTAATTTACATTGGCATGACACCGAGACACAGAGACACCGAGACACGGATCTCGAGTCTGAGGTCAATCTGTCAGTCAGGGTTTAAGATCAAGTTCCACGACGAGGGCTCTGGGGCAAAACTCCAAGGCGGACCTTTAACCGAGATAAAAAAGTGACCTGGCTCTGAGTTCTGTACATGCACCACATGGCACCCACTGAGGCTACAAAGTCAAGTCAATTGTTTGTTTTATAATGCCAATTCGCAACAGAAGTTTTCTCACGGCAAGAAAACCAAATGAAGCCCAGATGAGCTAGCAGTGGGCAAAATGAAGAGACGAACATCAACCAGAAACTGTGAGGCAAATTGGTTGAGATGCAAAGACAGAGTAGGGGAACAAAGAGTAGATAGGGAGAGGAAACAGGATAGATGGGTTTGGTGACTGGTGGAGGAATGAGAGAACAATGGGCACAACAACAGCCGTCAAAAGTCATGTTGCCTCAAACAGACAAAATGAGGCTTAATTCATGCAGAGAAAACCAAGAATTAGGCTCACGGTTTGCTTGAACAGGACAATTTTAACTTGACATTTTCGGAACAAATGTATAGTTTACAGTTGTACTGAAAGTAAAAGACTGTTCAGTTTACAATCGTTCTGCGGTAGAACATTTTGTGATTGAGAACAGCACACAATAGACAGTTAGCTCAGATTGTTTTATATTTGCCTAGAGCCTAGACGTATTTTACATATAAATCTTTAGCAGTATTGTAATGACTTTACACATACTGTATTGTGATAGACAACGTCCTGTTCTGACATTCGTACGAATTAGCGTCGCATGATTTATGACGGTCCCGGCGTCCGACAATAGACATTTCGAGGTTACGAACTGTACGCAATTTGCTCATTTGCATAAAAGCGTAAAAATAGACTTACATCATTGGACAGTTGTTGCTGTACTGGTTTTCATTATTTATAAACAAGAATCTTTATTTGGAAAAATACTTCAATGTAATTTTGACTTTAAGTTACGATCGCATTCGTTATCACTAATTAGACAACGCACATATGACTTATGTAGAAATTCGTGAACGACACTGATTGTCGCATTCGTTATCACTAATTAGACAACGCACATATGGCTTATTTAGAAATTCGTGTAACGACACTGATTGGCAATCCATCGTAAACAGTCACCCCTGCGTATCGAGAATATGAGCTGCTGAACTTACTACACTTTGGACATTCGACATTTCCAGGTTACGAATGGTGCGCAATTAATTCGTTTGCACAGCTGCTCTGTTGCCACCGAACTAATTACATCTATTTTCATATCAATATTTACTGTTAATATGACTTTACAACTGTATGAACCGACTGCGACGCATTACCACTTACGTTTAAACCGTTTACGTCGCCAGCGTAAAAACGTCGTAAATCGAAGAACGGCGTAATTAGCTTTGGTATACATGAGTGAACTGTAAATTGCACCTGTACCCGTATTATTGCCCTGCAGTATAAAAACACAGGAGCCTGTTGCTTAGGATAAACATCATAAGGCTCCGCGGGGACCCAATAAAGGACTCTACTTGTAATATAAATATGATTTATTGCGTGACGTGCAGGCATATTCTCCGCGTGGGCAGAACGTCTCGTGTTGATTTTAAGGCGCATCTGTCTCCAAACTCCACGATTCACAACACGTAACATGCAGAAAAGCGACTCACTCTTGTTGTCCTCTTACCCTGTGTTCAGTTAGGTCCAATGTTGGTCGCAAAAGAAGCCGTGCAAAAAAAAAATAAAAATGTACAACCCTCCAGCCCTCGGGGGTCCTCGGAGAGTCTGTGCCCGGGCGCACGCAGTCGCGATCCGGTGTAGGTCGTCTGCAGATCCCGCTCGGTTATTCCGGCCGCAGAACAAAATTATCTTGTCTGGATTTAGTTGAACTTGGCCGTCTGAAGTTGTGCTCTCCGTTAATAGTTGTGTACTTTCCACGAGCGGGCGGAGATGCAAAAGAAAGCAAATGAGTTGATCCAGAAGGAAGGAGGGTGACACACGGAGGGTGTTCCACTGCTCAAGTGGCGGAGAAGCAGCGTGCGCAGGTGGATAGAGGAGACCCTCTCCACCCCCACTCCCCTCCGGGCGTGGACACACCCATGGGGGAGGTCACCTACCTATCTCCGTACCCACCCCAAAATGAACAACATAAGAAGACTCCAGTGTGTTTTACTGTACTCCAGGAGCAATCGAATTCCCAGAAAGGGGACATCTTATAGACAAATGATTTTTTTTTTAATGTTTTTATAAATTACTCGGGTCTCTGGAGTGGTTCTTCAAATGTGTTTGGGAACAGAAACCTATTTCCTAAATTACATACAGTCCTTAAAATCTTTCTTCAGAGATATTATTCTCAATCTCAACATTTCAACATTGTTACTTCAATCGATAACCACACGATTTTTTGTGGAGGCTGAGAAGTTCTGAGATAAACTGTACACATATTTAAATATACACACATTTTTTAGGGGTGAAAAAAAGTCATTGGATGTTGTGTGTGAGAGCCTGGTGAAATCAAACCTCTGAGTGTATAACAAGTCATTATGATGTGAGCTCCAGAAGGTGGCAGAGTAATGAAATGAAACGCCACGGCGCACCCAGAGGCTAAAAGTCATTTGTTTAAATTTCCTCCTGCGTTTTGTCTCCGTCATCAGCGATCAAACGGGCCAAGCGGAAGACGGATAGCGAAAAAGGTACACAGGACATTTCAGTGTTTCAAACAACGCAATGTGTCCAATTCAAATATTCCTATAATGACTTCATTGCAGGATAAACACACATTTAACGCGGGGCTCGTGGGAGTCGTTTGTGTTCCGGCAATGGTTTACTTTGACTGATGCAATATTCTCACGCTCAACACAGGTCGTCTGCACTGAATTATGATGTGACATGATGTCGTTCCATCTAACCTGCGAACAATGACCAGATGTGGATGAGGTCCATTTCTTCCCAACACCTCAAAAACCCGATTGCCTTTCGTCGGCTCTGTCCTCAGATATTCATGAACAAATGGAGCCTTAAATCTTTTAATCTCACTCCATCCCTCGCCTGATCACACTGGCTTATTTTGCTTCCCAGCCCGTCAACGCACAATGCAGATGATGCCCCGTACGCATGCTTATTATTCCATAAATGTGCCGTACGGTAGCTTGAGTTTCAAAAGCATTTGCCATTGGACCAGATCTGTTGAGAGATTGAGGGATGGGAAAGGCTTTCTTTGTTTGTAGCCTGCGGGGATCATTTGATAACTACTCGCAGGACGGTGTCAAGGTTTTACAGGCGTGCCAAAAGGACAAAAATATCGGGACACCAGGCCATTACAGGGTGTCTTAATTTTTTGGTTTTTGTTTTTGTTAAATATGATCATTGTTCCGCAAATCCTTGTGCGAGTTTAGCAACAAAAGTGACAATTAATTTTTTTTAGTTCATTTACATTCACGTTTTGAAGTTGAGTTTTGCTTACAAGATAATGATTTGAGTCTCTTTTTGACAGACGTCTAGCAGACAGTGATGAATTCGTTTGATACGCAAAGCAGATAAAAAAAAAAGCTCTGCATCATGTTTGCCATTAAATGTGTTAAATTTCCCTTGATACCAGCAAAGTCTTCTGTGAAACAATCTTTCCAACACACATCCCTTCTCTGTGCATCACACACACGCACAGGGCTCAGCGGGAGGGAGGAGATACTGATATGTTCTCTCCTTCTTGGATCCTCGGCTGATCTTGAAAAGTCATCACGCTCGGTCGCACGCCAACACGCAAAAAGCGGAACACATGCAGGTGGGCGTTTTGCATTTGAAGGGTGGTCCCCGTCGTCCAAACAAATAGCAACTTTCTCACATATATCTGTAACTCCACTCGATTCCGTCCATGTTCGAGATGAAATAAATAAACAGACAGATCAATCTCATTCCCAAAACTTTCACAGTTCCAGTCAAACTGCTGCGCCATTATCTCTGCCCGTTTTCTCCTTTCCCTATCAACCCCCACCCTGCTTTTTCTCTCCTTGCCAACAGCTGCATGTTTCTTCTTGCTGTATTTCTTTTTTAATCGACAATATTATTCCCACATTCGGTCCTCCGGTGGCCTCGCCATCTGTCACTTGCGTGAGACAAGAGGAAAGCAATTATTGCATCCTGGCTTTGAGGAGTGCCTACCTTCTTATAAGTCCCTCATGCTTTTCCATTGCTTCCTCTTCCAATGCTGCTCCTTTATTCGCCCCATACAGTGGCCACCCGAGGAGGAGGCAAATTTGCTGATTATTTCAACACCATAGAGGCAATTTTTTTTTTTTTTTGTAAATTAAATCATTCCCTTTTGTCTTAACATCATGTCATGACATGCTTTTGATGATAGTTCGAGCGTGGTTTTTTTTAACCTCTCCCTCCCTAGTGGTTTCCTTTCCTGTACTAAGATCTCGGGGCGCTTTACATAGCGAGTACCGACAGGCCCCTTGCACTGTATCCCATGTTCGTCATTGTTTTTTTTCATGTTTCTTGTGCAGAGCGTGCCTGCTAAGTGATAATTTCGTTGCACGAATGTGTAATGACAATAAAGCAATCCAATCCAATCCAAAAAATGCCACAAGGACCAACTTCAAACCTTTCTTTTCAACCCATCCATCCTTTTTCTCTAAAGTGTATTCTCATTCAGGTCAGGGGGGGAGCTAGAGCCTTTCTCAGATGACTTTGAGCAAGTGTTGGGATACATCCTGGACAGGTCGCAAGCCAATCGTAGGACACATGTCACACTCACATATAAGGACAATTTTAGAATCTTCAATGAACCTAACATGCATGTTTTTGGAATGTGAGTAGAAGCCGGAAACCCCACACAAGAAGATCAGAACACCTGAACCTCATAACTGTGTGGTAGAAGTGCTCATACTCATCCTGCTTTAAGTGGCCAATCCCGTCACATACAAATGAGTCACTGCTCACCCCTCCCCCTTCTATTGAGGGGCCAATGTTGAGTATCTGACTTTTGTTACCGTGGCAGCTATAGGGGCTTGCAACGAGGCGAGCTGCGATTCCATAATAAGCACAGGATGCACTTGGGTGCTAATGTAACGAAAATGTCATTCTATGAAGTGATAGTATGATGGGAAAGCAATTAGCTGCTCGTCAAGCTGAAGTGCATGCCCCCCGCCCCCACACCCACACGCAAACGTGCACATCCTCATACAGTGAACGATCCTGGTGGTGTGACATTACACAACGATTGTGGCTGCCGTCATGGTGTAGAAATTAATGAAGGCAACACGCACGCCTCCCGCCACCTCAGCGGTGAGTGCTGTTACCTTTTTTCGCCGCGATAAGATATGAAATATTCACACGGTTTTTGCAGCGCTTTGACTAGGATGGCAGCTCGCTCATTAGCATTTAAATGGGAAAAAGATCACGCCGCACTTCTCACAAGTCTTACCTTTACGATAAAGTGGAGGAACTTGGGTTTGACTCTGAAAAGTTTGCTGGCTTTTCATAACTCGGGAGTCACTGACATTGCGGTTCATTTGCCTGACTTGCGTGGGTTTACTTCTTCCTGAGTAGCGGTGTGAATGTGAATGGTTGAGAAGGTACTGCACCAAAATCAGCAAAGCATGGGCAAGAGACGTGTACGCAATGCACCCGAATTAACTACAGGCATAGATATGAAAAGGTCGATAAGCCACGCCCCTTTTGAGCTGTGTTCCTACGGCAATGCTAAACTAACATCCGTGCTTTCCATTGCCTTTGATGGGAATGTTTCCTATGCCAACATGTGATCAGAGTACTGTATAGTCTGTACTGTATATCTCATACAGCTACGTGTACCTGCCTCTGTCTATTGATTGCGCCACAGCGGCAGTCAGCGGCCAATTCTAAAGCAGAGATTTGACGGGCCATTTTGAGTGGACTGAAACAACATTTTCTGCCTGTTTAATCCAGAGTTGGTGGGGAAAAATGTCATTTTTATTTGATCACAAGGTGTTATTTTGACTCAATTTCAGTAAAAACACTGTTCTCTACAATGCTTCCACTGCTTTGTAAGCATGATTTTTGCTTTCTAATTGCCATGGAAAGCCTTTTCATTTCTAGCAAAGAATCATTGAGATCTTCCTACAGATTAGCCGCTCAAACCCCCCCATCTCAATCCGGGATTTGTCACATTGTCATGTTTCTGCTCCTATTTGTTGCCTCTCGGTCCTTTTGTCATTGACGCTATATGACTAGAAATCAGTTGGAGCTTTGCATCGTTAAAAATGGGCCAGCTGCCTTTGACCCCATGGCCCATCTTGCTTTATTTTTGAATAACACAAGTTTGTCTCTTTGTATCTGGTTCACATGTCTGCTGAGCGCGAGGCCAAAAAGAAAAAGGGCAGCTGCGCAGGGATGAGTTGGGATGAATTAAAACCGTTTCCCAACAGGCTCCGCGGGGTCTGATCCCTCCTTTCGACTGCTAGATTGTCTCCGTCATGATCAAACCGAGGAGGCTGTGTTTCACGTTACATCAGATACCCCCCGCCCCCATTCCTAAACCCCCTGCTTATTATTACAAGTCTCTGCAGCAGCAATATCAGCGGTTTTACATTCAACACGATTTTGCAGCTGAAGGTGCCATGCTGCCATTGAAGAAGTTTTCCCATGCAGCCCCAGTATTGACATGGGGCCTCCTGAGGCAGCGGTCTGTCAGTGTCATTCTTCACGAGCATTGGACCACAGGTCCCTGACTGAAGACAGAGAGAGGAAATGACTTTGCTTTTTGTTTAAACTGCACACACTGGACAGGAAGGGGTGTGTAGAACTCCAACTTGTGGCATTTATTCGCTTCATATGTCCTTATGTTGACCTTTTGGCTTTTTGTGATAGTTTTTAAATGGCTTGGAGTGAACTGAAGTGGAAAAAAGTTTGTTTTTATGTCAGGTTTTCAGGTATTTGTGTGATCGTGGTTGGAGTGCCAAAGACCCCATTGTAACTCTACCCACAACTCATTTGATTGAATCCAACTAAGTGTTGAAGTTATCGGTGAAGTCATAGCACATAAAGCTAATTATCT